AGCTGCGCCCGAGCCGAGCCGAGTGCCTCACCCTTCCTACGGCCCTGCACTTACTGCAGATACAATGCCCTATCTCTGGTCAATGTCTGATGCCAGTTCTGCAGTCAGGCAAGTCAATTACTGGACTTTCAAAAAGACTACACTGCAATTAAATCCCAACTATAGCCCATCAATCCCATGAGTAGTTCTATATAATTTCCAGAATATATACCTATTTTGCAGCTGGTGGGCGCTTCTTATTGCTGCACACAATACTGCTTACATGGCGACTTGTGAGTGCTGCTTGGTGCAACAGTATTATTTGTGCAAAAAGAGAGAGAGATCAGTGTTGTAACAGGGAGGGGTTTGTGTATGACAGCCTGTGCTCACAGGAAGTAGTTTGAATAATGCTGGGCTCCCTCTTGTAAGCATGTTCAGAGTGTGACTGACAGCACTTTGCAAACCAACACTGCTCAGTGTGCTGCTCCCTCCCAGTCTGTACTGCTGTGCAGGGGAACACAGGTTACCTTACATTAAGACAGATATTATTTCTAATTATTTCTAATAATAGTTATTTAAAAGTTTTTTTTGCAAAGCTTAGTATAACAAAGGATACTTCCTCTCATGCAGCACTTTCCGCATTGTATGCACCTAGTGAACCACCTTACCTTTCAACCATGCTGCTCCCTGTCTTGATTGGGCCTATCATTATAAAACATGTAAAAGAGACCCAGAGCACAATGGCATTGGGAAGTTTGTGTACCACTAAATAAAAATCAAGTAAAACAATACCCACAAGTGCTGTATGTAATGCACATATGCATTCACACCATCCTCTGTCAGGAGCTGTACTGTGCCAGGATCCACTTAACATACCTTGTGTCTCTGTTTCTCTGAGAACTCTAGCACCAACCATAAGAGCAACACCACCAGTCTCTGAGCAAGAGGGCACACTTCCTGAAAAATGTCCACAGAGGATTTGCAGCTCTTATTGGATTCATTGTTGCTGCTAGCATTGTTGGAGGAGTGAAGACACAAGAACTGTTAGGTGGATTATAATTCAGCCTGTCCTTAGTCAGAAACAGAACACACACATTCGTCATGATCTTAGAAGGAAACTAAAGGAATTAGATGTACATGACAGAGTGATCACACCTTGATGTACATCATCTTATCTATGTGTTATTTTGATAAAACTTGTGAATATATCTGTATACATGCTAGTTTCCTGGCTGTCATGCTGCTCCATTGACATCAGTCCTTGCTTTGACACAAGAATTCAGGTGAGGTGTTCTGATTCCACTGTGACATTCCTGATTGGCATGCTTGTTCCAGGTTAGTGTTTCAAAGTATTGAGTCCAGTAAAAGACAGGCAATTAGCATTTTCATATCAGAAAATGGTCAGCAAGGCAGTCTCTGTATTACTGGTTTCTTTACAGCTGGAACTGAAATTATGATCCAAAGCTTCTCCCTTTTCCACTCATCCTCCCATTATTGTGCACATTGAAAAATGCAAGATCAGCATAGTCATGTCCTTCTCTCCTAGTCTTGGCCTGGGTCGAGCGGCACTTTTAGCAATAATGAAACAAATGGATTGTGTATGTGCCCCTCACTTGCTTTGACTATATCGGAAACCCATAGAACTGTAAATCTGCTTATGTATGGATCTGAATGCTTTCCTATTACAGTCAAATGAACTGAGAGGAGCATGCGCAACCTTCCAGCTTCATAGTTGTTAAAAATAATGCTCAACCCTTGGCAGGACTAGATAGAGTAGAGCAGTGACATGCGGTACCTCTTGCTCAGGGTGAGGCATTCCCCAGCCCCGCCCCTGACTCCTCTTGTCAACAAAAGCCCCCCCCCCGTCGGACGAAGCCCCACCCCCAAGCAAATGTAAAGGAGGAAGTCTCCCTGTCCCTCACTTGCTCCTCACCGCTGAGGCTCCGTGACAGGTTACACAGCAGGGAAGTTTTCCCTGCTGTGTAACCTGTTAGCTTTTTCTCCATTCATATGGGCATCTGTCAGCTTCAGACATGAAGCTGACAGCTTTTCCTTCCATAATTCTAGGAGAGGCTCTGCCTCATCTGCCTCCCCTGACCGCACGTCCCTGGAGTAGAGTAGGTTTGGGCCACAGAGAAGCATAATTATACTTGCACTTGAAAAACAGAGGACAGTCTGTACAGCTGCCTGATGCACAATACAATATAATTGCATGACTTAGGTAAACTTGTATTAGATGTCAGGGCAAAGATGGGTAAGGGATCGTCCCAGAGTCATATGACTTAATTCCCTCCTCCAGACATAGTGCTGTGCCACTGCTCATGTCTACGGCCAGGCTCTCATTGGGGGCAGCCATAGTTACTTATTACATAGACAGACTGTGCTTCCTTCTCAGTAGTGCTGTGCAGTTGTTTCACATTACTGTTCCCATGTCTCACAATCTTATCAAATTTACTGAAAACATTTACATCAGAAACTTTTTTAAATGAATCTGTATGAAACTGGAATCTCCAATAGGCTGATGAACTTACATCTGCAGTTCACAGATAAATGTTAAAAAAATATTTTCCCAACAAAGTTGCTTACCGTGTGACAGTGAAGGTGTTATGTTGCTTTATATTCCATAGCTGGAATGTACAACACACAGTTGTAGACCTTTGGGTTTCTCTTTCAAGTATCAGATCTGCTTACTTTACTGTATTTATTATTTTAGCTTATATTGCTGTTCCTTGCATTGGACTGTTTTCGATTTATTTATTATGTTTTAATAAAAGGTAATTATAGTATTCTCAGTATTATATTTTAGTTATAGTGATTGCAAGCTGCAGTTATATAATATCACCACAAGATGTCAGCATTGTTTCATCAATTGGCATTATCATTACTTGCAAGAAAAACTCCTGCTTAGTCAATGGAACTCTGCTGGAACCTAAGCCCTCGTTCACACCTGAACGTTTTGTAGCGTGTTCTACGCTTGACGAACGCTCTACAAAACGCTCAAACATGAAAATCCCATTGTTTTCAATGGGTCTGGTTCACACCTTGGCGTATTTCAGCACGTCCCTAACGCGCTACAAAACGGCCCACGCCTGAAAAGGTACATGTACTACTTTGGGCCGTTTTCGTTGCGCGGTTCCATTGGGATACAGCCAAGTAGCCCTCGGAAACACGCGTTTGTCGCGCAATTTTTTTACCGCGAAGCGCGGTAAAAAAAACGCGCGACAGACGCGCATATGCAATGCGCCTAGGTGTGAACCAGGACTAAGTGCTTAAGAAATACTACATGTGCCAGCAGCATCATTTTGAAGCAGAATTCGAGTTTATTTCAGACCTGTGATGCAAACACAATGTAGACGTTGATTGATTGCTTTAAGAACAGCAAGGCATTTTTTGGTCATTTCTGCAGTTCAGGTATAAATGAAAGAAGGATTCAGATTCCATTCGGTTGCTGTGCGTGGGGTAATGATAGCAATCTGGTCTGATCCATGTTGTATTGTTCTGACTTCAAAAGACAACTACCCCCTTCTGCCTCAGATCAAGCAGTGACCTGATTTGGGTGCAATTTATGCTAAACCAGTC